GTTGCCATTATTAAAAAACAAAACACTAATACTATAAATGTCGTCGGTCCACCTTGTGAGACGTCCCACGCTGCGTTTTCCGGTACGCGGCCTCCACTCCAGAACCTTGCTGCCCCATCGGCCGTCAGTTCTGCGTACTATGTGCCCTGCCCACTGCCACTTCAGCTTGCTAATCCGGCATAATGTCAGCGACTTTAGTTCGTTTACGGTATCAAAAAGGTAGCAGGAAGGCGCTGGATGCAGGCCGCTACCAACCGGGCGATGTGGAAATCATTGGGGGAGGCCTATGTTCAGCAGTGGAACATAGAATCCTTTTGTGAAGTCAGTTAAAAAAACAACATCCGTCTGAGTAAAAAATGAACTTTAAATAAAACTTCAAATCCTACTTCGTACTAATCCTACTAATATTATAAATGCGAAAGTTTAGATGTCTGGTTGTCTGGATGTATGTTACTCTTTCACGCAAAAACTACTGAACGGTTTTTGTATTATTGTTTATAACCCAGAATAACATATCTATATAATAAAAGAAAGTCGTCTTAGTTACACCACTTATAACTCAAGAACGGCTGAACCGATTTAGCTGAAAATTGTCAGGGAGGTAGTTTAGAGCCAGGAGAAGGACATAGGATACTTTTTATCCCGTTCGAAATAAAAAAAAGTCTGCTTATTTATTGCCATTGGGGCGGAACAAAGTTCGCCGGGTCATCTAGTAGGCTATAATTTATGGCGATCTGTGACAAACGAAATTTCACGCGGGTGATGCCGCGGGAAAAAGCTAGTAAGAAATAAAGCTAACATCCATGAAGTTTATGCTACAGAGCTAACCCAAAAACAAAAAACATAACCCTCCTTAGCGCAGTCAGGTAAAAATAACTCACATGCCACTCCTTCACAATAAAAACACAAATCACTTCATGTTCACTATAATCTCACATTTTCACTAAAACTAATTTCACACAAACCATATCTTTTTGGTCTAGATCACCTGGATTTGATCACCCGGGTGATCAAAATGGATTCCAGGCGACACTTTGGTGTCCTTTGATCACCCATGGATAAGAAATCCACTTTGATTACCTAGTACCTAGGTCATCTTATCCATAGGTGATTAAAACGACACCAAAATGTCCCCTAGAGCTTTTTAAGTAAACTGACATTATTGCAACACAATTTTAACGAACATCATCATTAAATTGATAAAATGGGAAATCAAGATAAATCAAGAAAATAAGATTTAATGTGGCCAGTGTAAAAGAAGGATTTACCCAAAAAATCTGCACCAATTTTCTCACACATACTACTACGTAGAACTTGGAAATGAAAAATGACTTGCTGACCCGGCTATCTTCGTATCGCCAATAAAAATATGTATGTCACCGGAAAATAACAAGACTCGTAAGTTGATCAATTTTCTAGGAAGTTGATCAACTCTCGGAAAATTACAAACGGCAGTTGAAATGTACTATTTGACGCATCGAATTTTAGCTAATTGGTCAACTTACGGTAACTAGCCGTAATTTAATAATTAACTATATTGCTACAAGTAAAATCATCCACAAATGGGCCAATCGTGGCCCAGTGTACTATTTGACGGTACACTATTATCCGTCACTTAATACACTTTTCTCTGATTGGTCGACTGACACTTAGATTTTGTTGTTTTAATATTTACATTTTAGAGATAGGGACATTAAAGTTCGTCTATGCTATATAGTTAAATAAATGAAAAATGTTTAAAAAAATGTATTGGAGCTCAAAGTTTTATTATTGTAAGTTATATTAATAATAAGTAAGTTTGTTTATTTCTACCACTACAGACTCCATTTCACTCATCATAAATAAAATGACACGTTATAATGAGAATTATTAGCACACAAAACAACAATTGCTAATTTTACTACTGTAAATAAAGAAAATAGATAGATTTGTTTACGTTTAAACCGGTAATGGCGGCGGCCGGGTGGCGGGGAGCGGTATAAAAGCACGGGAGTCTATTAACCAATCAACGTGCACCTTGCCTTTGTCGGATGATTTAACGGCAAGACGCCGTATATTAATCAACTTAGGGGGCGTCCATAAATTACGTGAGACAATTTTGGCCATTTTTCAACCCCCCCGCCCCCCTTGGTGAGATTTGGTGAGATTTTGCCTGACCCCCTCCCCCACCCCCCCTAATCTCACGTGATATTTAATAAAATGCCTATTTTGCAATGTCTATGCTTCGAGTCTATTAGATTTATATGAAAAAATCAGTAACCCCAGTGTCGTGCCACGCGCAGTGCAGGGTTCCATAGCTTCCCGTCGTTTAGTAAGACAAGCAATTGCTTCAACCTAGGACCAGTTTTTTGATTTATAGTTAAAATAACTAATTGTTAAATTTTGCTACTAATGGTTAAATATTAATAAAATGTAAACTAATAGTTAAAAAATGTACTAAAAGTCAAGTTAAACATTATTATAAAAACATTATTTTCTGTTATTTAACCACTTGTCATTTGACATCTGTCAAATTTGACTAAATATTGGTTACTTTAACTACGAATACCTACATAGTATTTTGATAAGTATGTAATGTAATTTTTTAGGGTTCCTTAGTCCTGACAAGGAACCCTTATAGTTTCGATATGTCTGTCTGTCTGTCCGAGGTTTCGCTTGGAAACTATTGGCACTGGGGAGCTGTAATTTAGTGAAGGTATGTATATTAATCACGCCGACAAAACGGTAAAATAAAATTTTGAAAAAAAAAAATTCTAGGGTAGCTCCCCTGCATGTAAAGTAGGGATGAATTTTTTCAAGGAAAACTATAACGGTTAAGATACATTACTTAGTTTAAGAGTAGGTACCTAATAGTCATTTGACTCATGTATTATACAATTTCTTAACCAGTAAAAATTCCTTAGAAGAAAATATGAAAAGTGACTTTAGATGAAGTAATTGCTTGCTTCTGAAATATATTGTGGTAACGACAGACAACTACGGAACCCTACACTGCGCGTGGCACGACACGCACTTGGCCATTTTTTACGCAATAGCGATGCCGATGACGTTTTTTTTTAATTTCGAATTTTCTTAATTTCGACATTTATTCTGCATCTTTAGTGTTCACAAAATAATGCAGATGGAGGCATTTTTAGTTTAATTTGATTTAGACGGTTTGGAATAAATTGTCATTATCATCATTAAAAAAATCATATTTTTTTTTACTTCAATAACCCAGTTTTCTGGCAATTTTACTCTATTTCTTGCGGGAAAAATTACGTGATATTTTCCGAGATCCCCCCTCTCCCCCACGTGAGATTTAGTGAGGTTTTCGTTGACCCCCTCCCCCCCCTAAAAGTCTCACGTAATTTATGGACGCCCCCTTACTAAAAAACATACGTTAAATAGTACATTTCAAATGCCGTTTATTATTTTCCGAGAGTTAATCAACTACCTAGAAAATTGATCAACTTACGAGTCTTGTTATTTTCCGGTGACATGTATAAGATTCTAATTCTAAAACTATTTTTCTTTCTTCTTTCTAATGTTGAAAGAATTCTTAAAACCAGTCCAGTGGTAGTTTTAAATAAGTAAATAAAAAACGTTTATTTGGCACAACACAATACAAATTAAAACTTAAAATTAAAATAAAATTGTACCAAACAGGTCCTCCTCCAGGTTTTATAGCCTATTCAATTTATTAAACCAACAAACAAACAAATCTTTCTTCCTTATAATATTAGTGTAAATTACTCAGAAGCTATGTAAAATATAGTTTTTATTTTATTTTGGGCATTTTGGTGTCCTTATAATTTTACTTATTATACAAATACCAATATTATACTATTCCCTGCTGCGAATAAATTATAGAATTTAAAGTCCGACATCAACACAATGCGACTGCTCAAAATTTTCCCCACTTTAGGGTAATATTTATTACACTGACAACCCCATGAAGGGGAATCCCCGTGTCAAGGTCAAGAAAAGTTTTGTTTTAATGCCTCGTTCTATACACACGAAAATTGTGTAATATATTAACATATCAAACACATTTATTTAATGTAATATTACCGGAGATTCTTTAGAAACTAAAGAAAAATGCCTGCGACAATAGTCGAACGGTGAAGGTGTCGGACTGTTTTGATGAAACTTTACAGTATTATTGTTTATAACCCAAAATAACATATAACATAAAGGCTATAATTTCTTTTCTGCTCAACCCAAAAGTAAACTGGTCGAGAATGCTTTAGTGCATTAAGTTCGCCTTATGTTCAAATTTATTTTGGCATAAAAGTTTAAATAAATAAATAAATAAATATAATTTATATCAATCTGTGCCACACTAAATTTCACGCGGGTGAAGCCGCGGGCAAAAGCTGCATGAGGAATTAACGGGATTACCTATTATAGTCAGGTCCGTGAGCACGTAGAATTTTGTCCAATGACCCCAAGCTACCCATCCTTATTGCTCGCGCGTAATTATGTTGCTGTCGCGCTTGCACACTCACTGCGGGTGCCAGTCGCACAGTCGCGACAGCAATATAATTACGCGCGAGTGATAAGGATGGGTAGCTTGGGGTCATTGGACAAAATTCTACGTGCTCACGGACCGGGCTTTAGTATTTTATAAATTGCTTATATTAAAAAAAAACAGGTTTGAATGTTGGTCCCATACAAAATGTATTTGAGAATCATCCCGTTTCGGATCAGACAGGTTTTTACAGTAAACGAGTATCGCCACGATTTTGGGGTGGCGTCATCGTGTGTACATTGCTTTAAGGGGATTCCCCTTGTCGATGGTAGGGGATTTCATGTAGCCTTAGCTGACATCTTTATTCCTTTTTTGACCATTTTATATAGCTACATCTGTACTAATCTGTACTATCTGTACTAATATTATAAATGCGAAGTAACTCTGTCTGTCTGTCTTGCTTTCACGTCTAAACCACTGAACCAATTTTGATGAAATTTGGCATAGAGATAGTTTGAGTCCCGGGAAAGGACATAGGGTAGTTTTTATCCTGGTTTTTAAAACAGGGACGCGCGCGATAAAATTTTCCTGTGACAGAAAAAAATCCACGCGGGCGAAGCCGCGGGCGGAAAGCTAGTGAAGAATATATTAACCGGCTCGAGTTGGTACGGTTACGATCCGTTTCCGGGTTTATAAAATTAAATATGCTTCTTCCTTTTTTTTTTTTTTTTTTAATTATTGTATGAACCACAAACAAGTTTACAATAAACTTAAACTAAAACTTATATGAAAAAAGAATCTTAACAATTGTAAACTCAACATCGATGGTTACATTTTACGTTAAATGGAAATAAACATGAAAATGCGGGACTTAAGTTCTTATTACATAGTCGAAATTAATTTCATTGGTTTGTTGGCGATGTGTGCGCAGTATAAGTGCGCTAGTGTTCTTATGAATATCAGTGTATGTAAAATAGGTTTTTAGTGTGTGTGAATGTGAATTAGTATTAAATGTTAGTTAGTAATTTTATGATTTCTCTATTATAGGATCCTGCACTGCATGTGAAAATATCTATGGAGTTAAATTTTTTATTATAAGTATCAAGCATGCGGCGAAGGGGGGATCGGACACCAGCCGCTGTACGAGACTTAGTAACCGCAAAAAGCGGATTGGTGCGTGAAGATCGCTTGTGAGTCCGTGTTGGTACCGAGTAGCTGATGCGATTTATTAAATCAGTGCAGTCATATTTATTGCTGCAGATGTCAAATAATAGCCTGGCATCGAGTTGAGAGCGTCTAGACTTTAAGTCAAGGAGTTTGTATTTCTTTAACAAGAGCAAATATGACAGACGCTTGCGGTAGCATTTGTAATGGACTCTGCGTAAAAACTTTTTTTGGACCATTTCAATGCTGTGATTATATTTTTCATAAAGCGGGTTCCAGATAGATACTCCGTACTCTAATTGAGGCCTGACAAGGGATTTGAAGAGATAAATAAGTGTATTAGAGTTTTTAAATTCACGACTAGAACGCATGACAAGACCATACATTTTAAATGCTTTACTGATTATGTTTTGTATATGAATGTCAAGGTGTAATTTACTATCAAGAGTAATTCCCAGATCTCTAATAAAACTAACCCTTGCAAGATCCTTGCCGCCTAGAGAATAGTTAAACTTACTAATTTTCTTTTTTTTAGTAAAAGTAATTATTTTACATTTGTTAAGGCTTAGCTGTAGGTGATTTAGGGAGCAGTAGTGGTTAAATCTAGTCAGGTCATCTTGAAGCAATAGGTGATCCTCTGGACTATTGATACTTCTATAAATTTTGAGGTCATCGGCATATAATAGAATTCGGCTGTGTTTAAAGCAATGTTTAACGTCATTTATGAAGATCACGAACAGAAGAGGGCCTAGGATGGATCCTTGTGGGACACCAGAGGTAACGTAGGCAACCTCGGATTCCGAACCTTTGATCACGACTCTTTGTGTTCTGTGAGACACATATGACTTAAACCACCGCCATAGGTTACCGTGTATACCATTAAATGCAATTTTTTGGAGTAGTATTTTATGGTCAACTGAATCGAATGCTTTCCTGAAATCAGTATAAATACTGTCAGTTTGAGTATTAGCGTCAAGTGCTTGAAATAGGTCCGATGTGTAAATTAGTAGGTTAGTGATTGTAGAACGCTGCTTTACGAAACCATGTTGTTCTTCTAAGATGATATTGTGCAAGTGTGGATAAATGGCGTCGTGAACCAGGCGTTCAAATACCTTGGAAAGAATGGGCAGGATGGATATTGGCCGATAATTTGTAACATCAGACTTGGAACTATCTTTGTGAACTGGGACTATTCTTGCACTCTTCCAGATGTCAGGAAAAACCCCCTCAGATAAGCATTTATTATAGATATAAGAAAGAGGAAGATCAATCACAGACGCTGTTACCTTAAAGAAAATTCCTGGCAAGTTATCAGTGCCGGCGCCCTTAGAAGTATCAAGCATTTGTAGGACTTTTTCCACTTGCAACCTAGATACTTTAATGTCGTGAATCATAAGATCAGGAGTATTTTCATATGCTAAATTATAATCGTCAATACAAAGATCATCAGGTACAGAAGATGGCTGAAATACCGACTGAAAAAACCTACTAAATAATTCACAGCATTCTTCAGGACTACGTGAGATAGAACCTTGGTATTGTACACTACACGGTATTTCAGACAAATTACGGCGTTGCGACATGTACTTCCAGAAGTATTTAATATTAATTTTTATGCTGCTTTCTACTTTTGCCATGTATGTTTTGTAACATTTTTCTGACAAGGTTTTGAATTGTTTCCTTAATATAGAGAATATGTTATAATTAGATGGATTATTATATTTTTTCATATTAATCCAGGCACGGTTTTTTTTATTAAAAAGATTAATTAATGTAGGAGTAAACCAGGCAGGGTATACGGACGTCTTATTATGGTATTTAGTTTTAGGTACATAACGCTCAATAATATTATAAATTATTTCATAAAATACTGATACTGCAGCAATAGCATTTTTATTAAAAAAGATTTCATCCCAGTTAGTATCTGCAATTTCCTGTTTAATTTTATCATAGTCTGCATTTCTAAAGCAGTACCTCAAGTATGGTTTAGGCCGCATGTAATCCTGCTTCACCTCACATATAACTGAAACGCAGAATGGTGGATGATGGCAATCGATAGGAAGCAATGTGCTTTCCGCAGATGATAACGTACAATCAGTTTTGTTGGTAAAAAACAAGTCCAGAATACGGTTATTATTATTTCTTAATGTATTCAATTGAAAACAGTTTAGTTCCGCCATAAAGTTATTTATATTTATATGGGTTTGGTTGAGATCTTCAATACTAGGGTATTGTTTATAGGATTCATTGTTTATCCAAACAAGCTCGGGCAAATTGAAGTCTCCGGCTATGAAAAAGTCTGTAATACCACTATTACTGCCAAGCAACCGATTTTCTAACATGTCTAAGTAACTAATATATACCTCATGATTTTGCCTTGGCGGAATGTAAACTGCACCTATACATATGTATCGCTTAGCCAGTTTGAATTCTATAAAAACATGATCAATCACTGGCGGGAGTGGGGAGTACGCAGCGGCGGCGGGCGCGCAGCCGGCCGGGCACAGTGCGCGCGAGACCGCGATCAGAGCGCCCCCGCCGTCACTGCGGCCGCTGCCCACCCGATCACGATCCGCGCGGAATACCCAATACCTGTTATCTATAAATTCAGTATCATTTATATCAGCATGCAGCCAAGTCTCCGTTAGTATTATGATATCGTATGATTGTGTAAGTATATTTGTAAAAAGTGTGTCGAGTTTGGTTCTAAGGCCTCGGCAGTTCTGGTAATAAATAGTTATATTGTTAGCCATTTTTAGTGATGCTACAAAAATGTGTTGTAGTTAATTGGTTTAAATAAATAGTGGGTATTATATGTAGTGTTACGAGTAGTGATATTTTATAGGTTAATGAGTACCAGAACCGCTTATCAGTGGATAAAATATTTATTGAGTGTGACCAGACATAATTACAATATAGGAGTATGTTTTTTAGTTGTATAATTTGACACACATTCCAGAATAAAAAGGAGATACATTNGAGTTACACTGTTAGAATTTATGGATTTAACTAAAAACTTGCGCACACGTCCACTCTAAACTGGTCCCGCAGACGACTGCCTGTCCCTTTAATAACGTAATTATCTTTCTATTTATATTTTTTTTGAAGTAGGTTAGATTTTTGTCTTATCTTCGAACTCCTCCTATGTTCTTCTGATTAATTTCGTTGCGGGTCCAATGACAGTTTAACTTTCCCCCGGGACAAACTTGACCTTCACTGGTTGGGTTATTGGCGGTCAAGCTGTAGATCCTGGCTACACAGGAGTTGCAGCGGTGGGAACGAGAGATGGGAATAGTTTTGTTACTTTGTTTGTAATTTTGTATATTTGCAGTGAAGTTGCGCGGTCGCAACGCAAATTGCGCCGGATGCTCCGAGCAACCAGCGGTGTCCCAGCTGATAGATTACGAGGCCTTCTGCAAGTCACAGGCCACTGAGAAGGTTGGTAATAAATCTAAATATACATACAGGGTGTGCCCTAACTGGGTCCACATTGTATAACTGCCTGAATTGTAAGACCTAATGTGAATGCTAATGTGGTTATGCAATAAACGATTGAGTATTGGGTGGAATTTTGTAATGCCACCTGAAGGGAAAGTACCCTTAATGCTGTAAATAGAAAATTTTACTCAAAGAAAAAATTCCTTCATTTTTGAAAAGAAAAAAAAACTGCATTCTAAGATTTCCGAAAATTTTCTGTAAATAATTAAAAAAAAATAAGATTTCATGGTTTTCCTTTCATTTAATTTATTAAGTTTGTTAGAGAGATTTCATCCTTATAGTTAACCCTATCTATGCAATAAAAATACAGGGTGTAATTTTTAACAGATTTTAGTTGGTTCGATTCCCAGGTGTGGCAAGCAAATTTTCACGCAAAAGCGGAATCCACGCATGCAGTCACGGGCACGGAATACGAAAAAAAAATTGAAAATAAAAAGAAAATGAAAAAATTCGAAAGCACGTTTTTGTTTTTCTGTGTTTGGTGTTTCAAAACTGCGAATGTTATGTTTTGGGACTTGTGGGGTAAGTTTAATTTTTAATTTATTTATTTACATAAAATAATTGGAATCAAAATTGTCTAGAACATTCGCGGTTTTGATTTTATAGTCTTTAAATAGAAGCTTTTTCACACCCGTATTCACAAACGAGCTTAAGTGAAGCAGCAAATCGAACGCACAGCGTTGAATAGAGCTCTATGATTGGTTCGTGTGTCACCCTGTGCGTCCACGCGCACTGTGAGACCTCATAGTAACGTTTGTGAATACGGGCGTTATTTTTTTTTTGTTATTAAACTAAACGTACTTACTTAATTTATATTCGTTGTCTGGTACATAATAGTACTTGAAGCTTTGCTTAATTCGCCACTAGATGGCGTACAAGTATATTTACCCAAAAAAAATTTGTTGCAGAAAAAGCAAAAATCCGGAATACGCAAACTGGAGAAAGAGAAACGCATGAACGGCCAAAGCTACTACGGATTTCGATCTGTACGCGAATCTGATGATAAAAGAAAGTATTTCCAAGATGTACTGAAATCTGAAAGAAAAATCGGGCCGCCGTGTTCTTCGGAGTTTTGCTTGAAGAAGCCAAGATGCTGTAGACAGTTGGACGAGGGAAAAAGAAAGGAGATATTTAAGTACTTCTGGAACGACTTAGACTGGAAAGAGAAGAAGAATTTCGTGAGGTCCCTCGTTGAAACAGTACCTCCTAAACGAAGAAGGCCGAAACACAAAGGGGAGGTATCAAGAAAAGTTGATTCCAGAGTGTATCATCTAAAAATAAACAGCAAAAGAAAAGTAGTTTGCAGAACTATGTTTTTAAATACTCTAGGAATTAAAGAGCCTACAGTTAGATGCTGGTTATCCAGCGACGATAAGCCAAAAACTCGCAAAAAACCAGTAAAATCATTAAACGTAGATTCGTACATAGACAACTTGCCGCAGCGGCCTCCAAAGTGCCAATACTGCAGGAATTCCGGCACTGATATTAAATATATAAATATAGACTGTATAAAAAACAAACATCAGTTGTATAATCAGTATATAAAAGACATGAAAAGTCAAAATATAAATCCGGCGTCAAGGAAAACGTTCTCAAAAGTTATAGGAGTGAAGAATATTAAGTTTTTCAAACCAAAAAATGAGAATGATGTTTGTGATTTGGTTAGCGAACATAATGTATTGCCGAGTATTAATAATTATCAAACTTTAGAACCTGATAAAGTAATAGATCAAAATGATATTAGTTATTATTATAATCAGTGGTAATAGGCTAGTTTATCTTTTAAAGCCCGGTCTGCGAGCACGTAGAATTTTGTCCAATGACCCCAAGCTACCCATCCTTATCGCTCGCGCGTAATTATGTTGCTGTCGCGCTCGCACACTCACTGCGGGCGCCCGTCGCACAGCCGCGACAGCAATATAATTACGCGCGAGCGATAAGGATGGGTAGCTTGGAGTCATTGGACAAAATTCCACGTGCTCGCAGACCAGCTATAGTCGATATAATACTGATAATACCATTTGCAATACATATTATTCTAGATCTCAATAATTATGTAATAAGCTACTCTATGTATGTATACTTATAATTTTCCTACTAAAATATTATAAATGTTAAAGTTTGTTAGTATGAATGGATGTTTGTTACTCTCTCACACAAAAACTACTAAACGAAATTTTGATGTTTATTTTTATTGTTTTGTCAGATAAAATAAAAATAGGCTATAATTTAAACGTTATTGAGTTGGCCAAAGTACAAGTACATATTTTAAGTGTGTAAGTCGGTTTTTAAACTAAATTTCACACGGATGAGGCCGCGGGTAAAAGCTAGTAAGTACTAAGTACAATAAACTAATAGGTACATATTTAATGTAACTTATTCAAATATAAATATAATATTTTATTTATTAATTTGATGTTTTATTTAACTTTCTTTCTTTTTCATTATTGCTTTGTATTTAAATTAGTAATGATTAAATCAACCAGTCAGTTTATTGGAATTGCTAGTATTAGATTTGAGGACGATGCACGAGATTTTTTCGAACGTTGGGCCTTATTTACACCTAAAAAAGTCAAGGATCTTTGGTGACATTTTGCACTTTAGTGTCTTAGGCTGAGTTGCACCACCTAACTTTGACCGTAACTTTAACGATAACCGGTGCTTTTTGTACGGAGTTTGACAGATTTTTGACGTTTGTCAACAATGATGCAACCCAGCCTTATGCCCGTTTTAACCATCAATACCTAATTTTTAAGTGACCCCTATGAAAACAAAATGCCTGTTATATGTTACCATAGAAGTCACTTAAAAATTAGGGATTGATCTGGATTGATAGTGAAAACGGGCATTAGTATCTCAATTTGTAAACTAACGTCCTCACGATTGGGGTATTAATACACCCCGTTATGCCTTTGAGGTAGCAAAACACCCCAGAATCTCAAATTAAATACGGACATTTCTATTTCTAGGATTTAGATTTAAACATTTTGCCGTCTTTTCGCCGTATATCTCCTCCGAGCCTCTCTCGCTACCTCACCGAAGGGGAGGACTTACAACACACGCGGCCTCTACTAGTGGACGTAAGAAGCGCCGCCGAGTTCAACATGTGCCGAATAGAGGGCACTGTCAACTGGCCTAGTGACAGTTTGAGGGGAGGGAGGCTGGTGGAATTGCTGGATGAAGTCAGGAGGTGTGCTAGGAAAGGTTGGTATTGTCCTGTGTTATTTTACATACAGGTCGTCCTAAAATGTCACACTGACACAGGTACAGATCGTTTCATCCACTCGGACGCGCCCCACCATTCTTCCGCGAATGTTTGAGTGTTATCGGTACACGCTAATGCTCCATGAGTGCACACGCACACTACAGTAATGCCTTACGGATTGCTCGGACCACACTCCCCGCACCCCGCGCGACCGGGACCACACATTGCTGGGGCGCGGCCGAGTGGATGAAACGATCTATAGCTGGGCCTAAAGCGAGGTTTAAACTACAAATTTGAACTATTTATTAGTCTAAACAAATAAAGAAATTTTGACTTTGACTTTGAAAAATATAATTTGCAGGAGTTGACTTCCGCAAGCTGTCACCACACTGTGAATCTTGCAGAAGTTGGCTTGCCACATCTATTTGCACAGTGGTAAACAGCTTGCGGAAGTCAACTTCTGCAAGTTTTATTGCTAGTTTAATGCCCGTTTTCACCATCAATCCCTTATTATTAAGTGACACCTTTGAAAACAAAATTCCTGCTATGTGTTACCATAGGGATCACTTAAAAATTAGGGAATGATGGTGAAAACGGGCATAAACCTGGTATAAGACGCATCGAACAAGCCTAACATGTTCATAAAAGTTTCAACTCTCATGAGTTTCAGTTATATCTTAAACTACACTGATTTATTTATTTATTAATGCAAAACACTTGTAAGCTTACAGAGCAGGTCCAAAGCGCTTACAAGCTTAAAAATAAAATAAACATATCATACACTTAGGTCACAAATAAAATACATGCAGTTTATAAATTAAATGGCCCATAATGTTCTAATTTTAAGAACATAATGGATGCAATAAAATATTGAGTATTGAACATTTTTTTTTGAAATTGTACTGATGTCAGTGTGAGCTATTTTTGGGACACGCTGTATATACAATTTTAATTTGTTGCACCTGTGGATGAAATACTTTTGTTTTGATAAAAATTGCCTGTGAGTTTCATCAAAAAGGGGCAAGACCGTCTAATGTAGGTACCAGAGACAAATGGAGGGTTTGGCCTACACTCCCCACGCTCTGGCCAGACTAGTTGGGGAGGCCTTATGTTCGCATTTTTATCGTAATCGACTAATGCCCGTTTTCACCATCAATCCCTAATTTTTAAGTGACCCCTTTGAAAACAAAATCCCTGTTATGTGTTACCATAGGAGTCACTTAAAAATTAGGGATTGATGGTGAAAACGGGCATAAGGGACTTAAATATGCGAACTTAAGGCCTCCTCAACCGTCCAATCAGCGTAAGCCAAATCCTCCACTTGCCTCGTAAATAAGAGAGAATCTTGCTCCTGCAGTGGAGACTAAAAAAACTTTTTTAAAAACAAGCTTTTATTCTGAATTTCAAAAGCTTGTATCGCGCATGGAGTTTATTCCTCTTTTTCTCTGTTTGCGCTACAAGCTTTCGAAATTCAGAATAAAAGCTTGTTTTTAAAAAGTTTATTTTTATTATAATTTTATTTTACACTTTTTAGTTATATCTTAATCTCAGGACCCTGGACATTATCTAACAGTAAAGTGCTCGAAAAGTCAAATCCAACGAACCCAAACTCGACGAGTTTCCGCCGTTTTGTTTAGGAGTTCCTATGGCCACCTCCCGACTCCATCATCAGACCAGCTCAATGGTACCATAATATTGCATTGTCATCGTACTTACATAAGTATACCAAATTTCAGCTAAATCGGTTGAGGAGAAGTGGTCTTAAATTCAGTTGCAAGATTTGTCCCACACATACTAACAAGTGAAGTCAATATAAAGCTTGTAGTGAAATAACCTGATCACGATGATGTTTATTTATATGCTTTTTATATTCTTTCAGTGGTCTTCATATGCAGACGCGGCAACGACTCGCAAATTGCAGCGCAAGCGGTCATAGACGCTATAGAAGACCCTCACAAAGACAAGATAGCTGATCTGAAGGGAGGTCTGCATGCTTGGTCTAAGGAGGTCGATAATAACTTTCCGATCTACTAAAATAACTATAAGTCTAGTGTTACAACCAATAGTCTAATATAATAACTCAAAGGTGACTGACTGACTGACATAGTGATCTATCAACGCACAGCCCAAACTACTGGACGGATCGGGCTGAAATTTGGCATGCAGGTAGATGTTACGACGTAGGCATCCGCTAAGAAAGGGTTTTACGAAACTCCACCCCTAAGGGGGTAAAACGGGATCCACGCGTACGAAGTCGCGGGCGACCGCTAGTATAAAATATGGACAGTGTAGTAGTAAATATCGTGAGGCCTTGAAAAACAGTAACAATACCAGTAAGAATATAATTATCAAAGATAATTCAATCGAGAATTTACAGTTATTGTGTTTCGTATTAGTGCTATACTCTACTTAAATATTGCTTCAAAAGTATATACCATTATAATATTATTATATCACCTGTATTTATCGTAATTATGTACTTAGTTGAATTTTAAGAATAGTAATATAAGTAATCTCGAATAGTTTTTGTTATGTTTTACACATTTGATACGAATAAAGTATGTGCATTGTGCAATAAACTTGTATTTCAATTTACCTACTTAGTTTGGGATCAGACTGCGCTGTATTGATTTTATATTATAGTTGTTGCAACTCACGAAGGCGAGTGAGCTTTACTTGTGTGTACGTGTACATGCACATAACGATAGTGTAATGTCTATCACAACTTTTGAAAAACGATTAGGGGGCTTAGTGTGAATTTACATCAAACGTCTTCACTAACGACTGCGTTAAAAAATGTCATTAAATGTATGACGGATTGTACAGCGCCCCTAGCAGATACTTTCAAGAACTAAAATCTTCATAGATTTTTTTTATGCGCTCGCTGTACGCGAGCCACCACACATGTAAAGCTCACTCGCCTTCGTGAATTGCAACAACTATACAGGGTGTTAGGTAAATGGGTATATGAGCCGACACTAGCCCATGTTAACATGGGCATATAAATGGTATGGTGAAGTCAGAAAATTGATATCTTCATTTTAATTATTTTAATTTTTATAATATAAATCGGATCTTATAAAATTTATTTTGTATGACAGTTAAAATAAAATAAAATGATGATATCAAATTTCTGACTTCACCATACCATTTATATGNTTCATTTTAATTATTTTAATTTTTATAATATAAATCGGATCTTATAAAATTTATTTTGTATGACAGTTAAAATAAAATAAAATGATGATATCAAATTTCTGACTTCACCATACCATTTATATGCCCATGTTAACATGGGCTAGTGTCGGCTCATATACCCATTTACCTAACACCCTGTATTAAAAAATCTATTATTTATTCAACAATTTAATTATTTACCAATCAATGGTCAAGTTAACACCATCTAAATCGTACATCAGATCTTCACTGGTCCTCATCACTTTCTTAACTTCTTTTCTCTTCTTTGTTAAATCTTTCTTGTTATTTTTACTTCTTTGCGTTGTTGTCTTTGTAGCTAGTTTGACCATGGGCTTGACAATTTTATTTGTTTGGGTTTCGTATTTGGTTAAATTTTTTGTCCTGCTATAGTTTCTTGACTGACATGTTTTTATAGTGATGAGCATAACTAAAATGTAGTATCATCATCATCATTTCAGCCACAGGACGTCCACTGCTGAACATAGGCCTCCCCCAATGAGTTTCATATTGAACGGTTGGTAGCGGCCTGCATCTAGCGCCTTCCTACTACCTTTATGATGTCGTCGGTCCACCTTGTGGGTGTAAAATGTAGTCTAATTTAACTAAATCATTCATCTTTATGTATAGTAGGTAAATAATAATTATAATAGTTATCTTGTAGAGACGTTTATATTTTCTTAATTTACTTAAAATTGCTAAAAAAGTTAAGTAAGTATAGTTACTTACAGCACATAATAATGAGATATCTAGAAAAATACATCAGCAACAGTTTGTGTATCTCAAAAACATCGATAGCAAAATGAAAAACTCATACAATCAATAAAATCAATTATAGACCATGAAAAAATTGACAATTTGTCTTTAATTTTTCATTAATTCAAAGAGATGTTTCGTACTATTTTTGTATGTTTGTAACGGATAAACTCAAAAACTGCTGAACTGCTTTCAGAGATTCTTTTACCCTTAGAATGCTATGTTATCCCTAAGTAACATAGGCTATAGCAGTAGTAGAATCGAAATCTACACGGGCGAAGCCTCGGGCAATAATTAGTTGTAATAAAAGCATGAAATTATATTTCTTATCAATCAGTTTGACTTCAAGCCTACCTAATCAGATACCTGAATAGTGTTGTAAAATATGCCCTTACTGGGATTTGAACCCAAAACATTGCATTGAGAGAGCTAATTTTGCGTCTAGCGCTGTTAAAATTAAACTAAATAAAACAATCATCATCATTATTTCAGCCACAGGACGTCCACTGCTGAAAATTTCCATAATGACCGGTTGGTAGCGGCCTCCATCCTTAAATAAATTAAATAAAACAATAATTCAAAAATAATATTTTATTAAGAATTACAAATTATAATGAAAATTGAAAAAAAAAAACATTTTAAGCTACCTTAGCTCTAAATAATTATTAACTAAATAAGTTTTTTTTTTCAAAATCAAAATCAAAAATCTGGAAACAAGAAGAAGAGAGAAATATTTTTGCTAGCGAGCCATGCTAGAAAGAATATTTTAAATTGGAAATATTACACTTTTTTATTTCATGCCATCATTAGAAAACGCCCTGACTATCAATATAAACAAAATTTTAATTGGTTCAAAATTAATATTATTTTCACAATGTTCACAAGAATATGGTTTTTCTGCTGTGTGTACTTAAATGACGTTTTAAATCGTTTTTTTGACTGAAACTACTTCCACAATTTTCACACGAATACGGTTTTTCTCCAATGTGTATCCTAACATGACGTCCTAAAGCACTTTTGGTAATAAACTTCTTTCTACAATGTTTGCATGAGTGTGGTTTCTCCCCTGTGTGTGTTCGTATAATAATATAAAATGTGTTACTAAATAACTTTTATCACTGAAATTCTTTCCACAATGTTCACATGAATATGGTTTTTCTCCAGTGTGTATCTTTACATGAGATTTTAAATTTCTTAATCCAGAGAATTTGTTTCCACAGTGTTTGCATTAATACGGTTTCTCCCCTGTGTGTGTTCGTATATGTGTTACTAAATTACTTTTATCACTGAAATTCTTTCCACAGTGTTCACATGAAAACGGCTTTTCTCCAGTATGTATCCTTATATGACGTTTTAAATTGGGTTTTCGATTGAATATTTTTCCACAATATTTACATGAATACGGTTTCTCCCCTGTGTGTGTCCTTATGTGTGATACTAAATGACTTTTATCACTGAAATTATTTCCACAATATTTACATGAATACGGTTTCTCCCCTGTGTGTGTTCGTATATGACAGTTTAAATGACTTTTATCACTGAAATTCTTTCCACAATGTTCACATGAATACGGTTTCTCCCCTGTGTGTGTTCGTATATGTGTTACTAAATGACTTTTATTTCTGAAATTCTTTCCACAATGTTCACACGAATATGGTTTTTCCCCTGTGTGTATCCTTACATGACGTTTTAAATTCCCTATTTCAAAGAATTTGTTTCCACAGTGTTTGCATGAGTACGGTTTCTCCCCTGTGTGTGTTCGTATATGACGTTTTAAATGACTTTTATCACTGAAATTCTTTCCACAATGTTCACATGAAAATGGTTTTTCCCCTGTGTGTGTCCTTATGTGTGATATTAAAGTATCTTTTTGTCTGAAATGACTTCCACAATGTTCACAAGAATATGGTTTTTCTCCAGTGTGTATCCTTATATGACGTTTTAAATTGGGTTTTTGATTGAATATTTTTCCACAATATTTACATGTAAATGGTTTTTCCCCTGTGTGTGTCCTTTTGTGTGTTATTAGAATACTTTTGCGTGTGAAATTACTTCCACAGTGTTCACATGAGTACGGTTTCTCCCGTGTGTGTGTTCGTATATGTGTTACTAAATGATTTTTATCGCTGAAATTTTTTTCACAATGTTCACATGAGAACCGTTTTTCACCTGTATGAATCTTAATATGACGCGTCAAATGATCGGTACGTGAAAACTTTTTTCCACAGTGATGGCATGGGAACATCTTATTATTGTTTATATTATTATCTTTAGAACTTCCTACGTCACCTGCATTATTAATTGAAGTTAAGTCAACTTTACGTGTGTTTACTTCAGATTTGTGACATTCGTGACTTTTTAAATGAAACGCCAATGTGTCTTTACATTTAAATATTAGCCCACATTGGTCGCACACAATTTTTTTACTGTAATTTTGGAATTCTAACAAAGTTTTGGGTGAATTTTTATTATCAGCATAAGTTTCGTTGTTGTTTTGTGTGAAATCTTTCTTTTGGTCTAAATTAGGTTTTTTATTTTCTTTTTTGTCTTTAATTTTGTTTTTTATTGTATCTGCGTCGCTTGTTACTTCTTCAACAACAGTTGACGATGTTGGCAGTGTATTGGGTTTTTTTGTAGCGAGTTTGGGTTTCTTGGGCGCTCCTCCTTTGAATAAAATATATTATTATATTGAATTGGTGAAAATCAAATGATGTAGGACAGCAGGATGTAAAAATAGATAGGTACAGTCAGCGTCATATAGTTCGTGATACCTAAAATGGCCAAAGACGTGTTGCGAACTTTTTGGCTACTTTGGGCGTCACGAACTTATTTGACTCTGACTAGATAAACTGAATAACACGCGGGCAAAAAAGCTAATAATCTAAATAAATATGTATAACTCAAAGATGACTGACTGACATAGTGATCTATCAATGCACAGCCCAAACCACTGGACGGATCGGGCTGAAATTTGGTATGCAGGTAGATGTTATGACGTAGGCATCCGCTAAGAAAGGATTTTACGAAACCACCCCTAAGGGGGTAAAACGGGATCCACGCGTACGAAGTCGCGGGCGGTCGCTAGTACATAAATACAATATTTACCGAATTTCTGCACGTAGCTCGCTGGCGAGTTGTAGTTTCGTAAATCGATGTGGAGAGACGCGGTCAAAAATTTTTTGAGATTTTTTTAAAATTTTTTATAGAATTTTTTTTCTTCCAATAACGTATTGTAAAGAAAACGTAATAACTTTTAAACTAAGCGGTATATCCTGATAAAATAAAAACAGTAATAATGCTAAATAACAGGCGATACTAAAAAAATACATAAAATACACAAAAAAGCCAACAAATAATAAAAAATGATACTTTTTGAAAAAAATCTGCTTAAAAATTCGTGTTTGCATAAATGCAATATTTACCGAATTTCTGCACATAGCTCGCTGGCGAGTTGTAGTTGCGTAGGTCGATGTGGAGAGACGCGGCGAACTCGGCCCCATAGAAAACTAGGAGCTCGGTGAATCTTGGTATTATTTTTATAGTCCTGAAAGTATATTTTCTTTTCACTTGCAATAAAAAGTAGGTAAGTAATACCTATTACTCTTATGCCCGTTTTGACCATCAATCCTTAATTTTTAAGTGACCCATATGTAAACAAAATTCCTGTTTTTTGTTACCGTAGGGGTCACTTAAAAATTAAGGATTGATGGTGAAAACGGGCATTAATATCCTAATAATCTAAGTGATGTTTATCGTAATAAATATTTCTTTCTTTCTTATGTAAATTAAAATCATCTCTCAATCTCACCAATAGTTCTCTAAATAATGCATAATTTTTATTCTGCTTGCTAACCTGGTCTATAATGCCCTATTTCAACCCTGTCCTTCACTATAATGCCCTGTATCAACACTAACTTGTACTATAATGCCCTGTTTCAACATTGACCTTTAATTACTTTACTTTACTTTTCAAAATTCTTTATTTAAAACAAAACACATTATACAGTTACACTATAAAAATAATACCATACAGTATAACTTACATCTTAAATGCGATAACACTTCACCAGGCCAAAAACACCTCTCAAAGCTTAACTACACTGAATTTATAAACAAAACTATTAGCTAACACATATAATTGTAAAAGATTAACATAAAGCAAGAACATTATGAAGCTTTTAGTGTAAACTTCATATTTTAAAGAATGATTCAATAAACAAACTGAATAATTTTGCAAGTCGGGTAGTTTGCAAAAGAAGTACGACAAAGTTCGTTGGTCCCTCGAACCGAGCACTGAATACCGTGAGCCGGCGCAGATTATACTGGACTTGTATAGAATACCGGTCTTGTGTGAATACGCAGGACAAAAGGCGACGTCATGCGTAGTGATGGGGTAAGCGGTATGTGCCGTAAGTATCGATATACGATAAATCCTGTATTTTCGTGGCTGCAATATTATAAATTAAGGGATTACTATGGGATGCTACATTATCGAAGAATTTACGAGTGAGTTTTAAGATGTAATTACGTAATGTTAACAGATTTATGGTTTCATGTAATTTTAGCAAATTGGTTCGAAATTTTGTATTGTAAGCTATTTTTAAGGCTCTATTTTGAATTACTTGTAACGATTGGTGGTTAGTGGTGCAGGTAGTGTTCCATACAGGGCAGGCATATGTAAGGCAGGGTCTTATGAGAGTCGTGTAGATGCGTAGCTTAGTGGTCGAGCTGAGGGGGCTATTGCGGTTGAAAATGGGATTTAGGCCAATCATAGCAGATGCACCTTTAGTTTTAAGGTCACATAGGTGTTTGGTCCACCTTAACTTCCGGTCAAAAGTAACACCAAGGTACTTCACAGAGTCCTTCCAGGGAATGGAATGCGCACCTATTTTTAAGGTTCTCGTCGGTAATCTACGTTTACGAGAAAACATGATTGCCTCTGTTTTGGCCTCATTTAATTTTAGTTTCCATTTGTGGAAGTAATCTTTAAGACCATCTAACGACAGCTGCAATCTGCTAATTATGAGATCTTCATCCAAGGATGAAGTTAGCGATGCGGTGTCGTCGGCGAAGCATGCTAGACTCGTGTGTGACTGTATGGGGATGTCATGTGCGTATATTATGTACAGAAAGGGGCCTAGAATGGACCCCTGGGGTACACCGGTCAAAGTCAAAGTCAAAGTCAAAATTTCTTTATTTGTTTGGACTAATAAATAGTTCTTACAAATCGTCATTTTGCTCTTAAGGAGCCTCTACATGTCTCATAATCTTTTTACCCTACCAGCGCTTCGAGACCAACATTTGGCAAGTGCTGAGAAGAAGCGCCGCAACAAACTCAGTCACCACTGTCTGCCGGTTAATATAAATAAATAGAAATAGTAGTAGTAGGTACATTCGATTCAGGAGCAGTTCACTGAATTTACCATGCATTCTTGTATGGTGTATCTTATAAGAAAGGGTATACAAGATTGCGTGGTATATTAAACAAGGTAGTGACGTGGGGAGACTGATAAGCTGACACAAAAATATGTTCCCTGCCAGACACCAACAACTTGATTCCAACGGCTTCAAGATGCTGCGTATCAGGCATGCTGACAATGCTATGTTCGATGTTATTTTTAACCAGTATGGCAACACCCTGACCACGACCGTTAGTATGTTTATCACGTCGGTACATTACGTAACCCGAAGTTGTAAGAGATATGTTAGAGCTTAGGCGGGATTCACTAATTGCCACAATATCAACACTTAAGACACTCACCAGACTCGTTAACTCATGAATTTTACCCCGAACGCCATCAGCATTCCATTGTAGTACATTAAGGCAGCCAGGCTCACACACAGTGCCCAAGGTGCGCGAGGACCAACATTACTTTGTCGAGCATTGATTTGCAAGTGACAAATTTACTTTTAAGATCTCTGACAGCAGTCAGAATTGTAAGAATTTCTTTTGTAACAACATCATTGTCTTCAGGTACTTTCTCCTGCTGGGTAGATGTAGTGGATTCTATGTTGTGATTATAATTTCTCCTGTCTAAGGTTAAGTGCATCATGGAGGTGTCCCTGTACTCGTAAGTGTCAAACTTCTGTGATGGTATTGGCAGGCTTTTGCTTTGAGACTCTTTAGTAACGTCAGCCCAGGATTTTCCAGGAACGTAAGGTGCTGTTTTCCTAGACTTTCGCTGACTTTCCTGGCGATCGCGGATTCGTTTGACGTAGGCCATCCTTGCAGTACATTCTCTATAATTTGCAGGATGATTCTCGCCACAGTTTACACATTTAGCTGGTTCGTGACGGTCTATCTTCGGGCATTGCCCTATGGGGTGCTGGTTTACGCATTTTATACACCGGGGAGGCATGTTGCAGTTCTTTGAGGAGTGACCAAATGCTTGGCATCGGAAGCATTGTGTGCCCAGTGTTTGGCTCGGACGGTATCTTGTAGTAGTAACAACGCAGTTAAGAATATATCTGACCTTTAATAATATTCCCTTTATCAACCCTGTCCTGTTACTACAATGCCCTGTATCAACACTGTCCTGTACTATAATGCCCTGTAGCAACACTGACCTGTACTATAATATCCTGTAGCAACACTGTCCTGTATAAGTATGCTAATGTTTGCTTGAATAAAGTACTTATTAATATTAACACTGACCTGTAGTACAGTTGTCCCTGGTACTGGTACGCGATGAGGTTCTGTTCGAGCCAGTGTCGCGAGCAGTTTACGTAGCGCATCCAGTTGGAAGAATTGGAATCACTACTATATGGACTTTATATTCAGTCTGCTATACTGCCCTGTACTATAATGCCCAGTTTCAACATTGACCTGTTCTATAATGCCCTGTATCAACTATGTTCTGTACTATAGTGCCCTGTATTATTATCTGACTTGTGCTATAATGCCCTGTATCAACACTGTCCTGTATAACACTGACCTGTAGTACAGCTGTCCCTGGTACTGGTAAGCGATGAGGTTCTGTTCGAGCCAGTGTCGCGAGCAGTTCACGTAGCGCATCCAGTTGGAATCGTTTGGGTCAGACGCGTCTAGCGCGTACGACCATTTGTTGTTGCTGTCGCGGATCTGGGAAGATAAATAAATATCTTAAAAACCTTCATTTCATTTTTATCTATACTTATAATAAACCTGTAGAGAGGTCAATTCTGTACATGAAATATATTTTCAAAATAACCATCAGGGGGTGATTAGTGATCGATACTGATGCCAAAAATGCAATCAGTAAAATTTTTGTCTGTCTGTGTGTATGTTCCTTATAGAAACAAAAACTACTCGACGGATTTTAACGAAACTTGGTACAATTTTCTTCATACTCCTAGGCAGGTTATAGGATACTTAGGAATTCCCACGGGAATGGGCATTAGCGGGAAAATCCTTTTGTATGAAAAATCTAAACCGCTTAAGTTAGACGCTTGAAATTTGGCATGCAGGTCCCTTAGTAAACTTAAAGCTTAGTTACAACAGGATATTGCGAAATTCCAACGGGAACGGGAGTTAGCGGAAAAAAACATTTGTATGAAAAAATCTAAACCGCGTAAGATAGATGAAGGGGGTAAAACGGGATCCACGCGTACGAAGTCGCGGGCGGCCGCTAGTCATCATTATGAACAGTAAGAAGACCCTCACAAAACCAGAGCAAATAATGGAGGATTTGGCATACACACCCATCTAGGCAGCGTCATATAAATTACTAGCTCTCCGCCCGCGGCTTCGCCCGCGTGTAATTTTGTCTGTCACAAAGAAACTTTATCGCGCGCGTCCCTGTTTCAAAAACCGGGATAAAAACTATCCTATGTCCTTTCCCGGGACTCAAACTATCTCTATGCCAAATTTCATCAAAATCGGTTCAATGGCTTAGGCGTGAAAGCGAGACAGACAGACAGACCGACAGACAGACAGAGAGTTACTTTCGCATTTATAATATTAGTATAGATTATCACTGTTACGGGATTTTCCAACAAAAAACACTTTTATAAATTTTACAACGCCGTATTATTGTCCCCAAAATAAGCTCAATTATCAACAAACATTTAAAGGACTAAACTTTGTTTTTATGAATAACTTACATCGCTTTAATAAGACAGCTCTTAAAAACTGTCAAATCAAATCAAATTCTACGATTATAAATTTTAGGACTACTTAGGTTGAGTGTCGAATTTTGTCGCAAACGATTCGAAGACGAAAGTTGTTCATGCTAGAGTAGAGATACTGAAAAGGTTAAGTACAACTTAGAGTAGGCGCACACCGTTGATTTTTCGTCGGCCGACAGTTTAGTCGGGCAGTTGATCAGTATGGGCATGTATGGGAGTGCGCACACTACGCCGATTCGATTTGGCCGATTCTTCATACAATTTAAAATCGGGCACAACAATCGGCCAACTAAAAACCAACGGTGTGCGCCTCCTCTTAAGTAGTGCTAATAAAAAATTTGAATTTGACTAAGCTCACCTGCCAGCAGTAAGAAGACTCGATGTCTTTCACCCGCTTCCCGCGGTAGGGGCCGAAGCGGACCCCACTTGGTAGGGTTAGCGTAGAGAACACTCCCAACCCTGCTCCTAGGGTCAAATAACATCATCATCAGTGGGTCTAGACAAAGTGCACATTTTAATCGCAAACCAGTCGATAAATGGCCGAAGTTTTGACGGATTCGATTTTCGATTCGATCAAAAAGTGCAACTTGTCTATTAGGAGGGCTGTAGGCCTAAGATGCGCGCCGCGATAAGCCGTTATCACGCCATTTTATCGATTTTGCCCATACATTTTGGCGTCGATAAAAGTTATCACGACGCGCATCTTAGGCCTACAGGAGGGCCTATTGTAGGAAGCGCGCCGCGATAAGCTTTTGTCGCGCGACACGCCCACATGTGTTATCGATGTTACGCGATAAGCCTATGTAAATGGGCTTAGTAACATTTGTCGTCTCATCATCATCAACAGCCCTTTACAGTCCACTGCTGGACTATGAGCCTCCTCCACTATAGTGGAGGGTTTTGCCATAATCTCCACGCTTGGCAGGCGGGTTGGAGATCGCAGTTTAAAAGATTGATGTTTTTCGGAGAGCGCTGCTGCCCATTCTCTGTTTGATGTGTAGTCCCTATAGCCGTGTGGTGACGGCAGAGTAGAATACATTTGTCACCAACCCCTACTCTTCCCGCGGGTGTCGTAAGAGGCGACTTAGGGACTACACATTTGTCGTCTACATCGAAAGATTTTATCACGGTGCGCAAATCCACAATATAAAACAGTGAACTGGTCGACTCGAGATCCGACGAACGCGGGTTCGCACCCCGCCGCCACTCGACTATTGTGACAAACCCATACCCCCTTAATAATAAAAGTTACACCTAGGATGAATTGTTTTAGTTTTCACCCACGTTAACTTATTTAAAAATGTTTTAGTAATAGAATGTGTTTCTTTAATTGGCTTATGTTCAAGTTGTATCTTCCTGCACATTTATGTACAATTTAATGCTGTTGAAACATTGTTAAACAAATAAAATAAAATAAAAATAAAATAAAAAATGAACTCTGGATTAAAATGTCATTTCCATACTAAATGACAATTTAAGCCAGAGTTTAACTAGGGTGTAACTTTTATTAATAAAGGTAGCCTTTCGTAGCGAGTTAGTGAGGCGTTGGTGGCACAAGTCCAAAACTAAAGACGCTGCGTCTGTGACGCTTAGTTCGAAAGGCTACTTTAAGGGGGATTGTGTTGTTAAATAGGTACATGACGCGGGCTGCGTTCATTTTGATCTGACCGCTGCCCGCAGAACGCATCCAGTGTGGCAAATCTAAAACTGGACCCGCAACGAAACGGAACCCCAATAATAACAATAGTTCTTACCCGGGATAATAGATGGCGCTATGTGCAGAAACACTCGCGGTATGGTGAGCGCCGCGCGCGGGACGAAGTCTGGGAATGAAGTCTTTGCAGGTACCTGGGGGACAAATTCAATTAATAAAGCTTTTGCTCGCGGCTTCACCCGCGTGAAATTTAGTGTCACAGATGGCATAAATTATAGCCTATATGTTAATCTGGGTTACAAACAATAGATGGCTCCTACGTATACTGGCGTAAGTGAAAAAAGTAAATTTTACAGGAGAGCCATTTTAGTGGCCAGAACCATATTTTTGGGTCATATCTTCTGACCTACTAAAACGAATTTAATGAAATTTCACATTTAGCCTTAACATGTAATGCTTTTGGTACTGCTGTTATCAATTTTTATATTTTTCTTATATATTTTGAGATTTTACGCATTGCCCTTTTACGTCGGCATATTTCTATAATTTCATGTATATTGTTCAACGTAAAGAGACTTAAATGACAACGTAAATATAATATTTTAAGCGATTACTCTCTTTATTTATGCATGTAATTATTTTAATTGTTATCATGTGCTATATCAATAATAAATCAGTTAGAAAAAGTCGTTTAATGTACCGTTTTACGTTTTAACGCAAATACGCCCATATACTGTGCTCGAGATTTAGTTAGGTCTTTTAACATAATGTGTCATATTTTTAAAAAATATAAATAACTTGAAAAAATCGAATTGCCTAAGGCGGGAATTGAACCCACGATGCCTTAGGCAGTTCGATTTTTTCAAGTTATTTATAATTTTCAAATTAGTTTGAGATGCGACTCTTAACGCTAAAAATTAAATAACTATATAATGTGTCATAATTTATAAATAAAACAATTTGCTAAATATTTTCATGGCTTTATTTAAGATTTGGATTATAAAAAATATATGTTTATGTAAGCAACTACTCGTATAGATTGACGAATCGTATGATTGGGCTTTATACGTGGCGTAGTTTTGCACATACGCCTATTTGCCTAAAATTTTATTTTGTATCTAATGGAAAAAAAATTTTTTTTTCTTACTGATGTTATAGATTAGAGCAAAGTGAAATCATTGCTTAAATAATTGGAAAAAGGCGTAAGCGGCAGTTTCGCCCTTATACGTAGACTGTAAAATTTCAACAAAATCCGTTCAGTAGTTTTGGCGTGAAAGAGTAACAAACATCCAGACATCCAAACTTTCGCATTTATAATATTAGTAGGAAGTAGGATGTTAGTTGTGGTTAGATCCTTTTAAGGGTACTTAATCATCATCATCATCTCAGCCATAGGACGTCCACTGCAGACCATAGGCCTCCCCCAATGCTTTCCATGTTGCCCGGTTGGTAGCGGCCTGGGTCCAGCGCCTTCCTGCTACCTTTACCTAATAGCCAAAGGGCACTTAGTCTTAATACAAGTCCCAAATTAGCTTGCCGATTCGATAGTTTTGGACTATCGATAAGTTGATGGGGCAATACTAGAGTTGTAGAATTATCGATATCGACAGTTGAAAAAATTCGGTGGACAATTTTTTACTATTTATATTGCGTAGTAAGACAGACAAAAAAATACAATAATCAAAACACTTACTTTGTCGTCCGGTATAACCAGCAGGGCTCCATGTATAGAGCAGTATTCGTAGACGAAGTCCGCACATTTTTCACAAACTAGAATAAAAATAAATAAGTTACTTAAATTAAGTAAGAAAAAATTTATACAGCGCTATGTATGGTTCCAAAGTACCTAAATCAAAGCTTGTATGGGTAGCACACAACGGACCACCAACTTTTAGTTGGCCGATAGTTGGGTCGGGCTGTTGATCAGTATGGAGATGTATGAAAGTGCGCACATTACACCGATTTGGTATCGGCCGATTCTTCATACAAATTAGAATCGGGTCCAACTATCGGCCAACTAAAAGTCAGTGGTCTGCGCCTAGGCTAAAAGTAACACATTTACTTGTTCACATAATATTACATAGAAAACACCTAGACCAGACACAAACAGAATGTTTAAGTAGGTACTACCTACCTATAATAATATTTTATTGTTTGTAACTGTTGAACCCACACTTCAATCCAGTGCGTGAACCACTAGGCCAGACGGACGGGTGAGAATCAAGTTTGATAGAAAAATCAATGCTAAAATAACTTACTTATTACTTACTTGAATAACTTTTGTAACTTAACGTAAGGACAATAATACCAATTATTCCAAATAAATATTTTAAGTACCTACCTATAACTTCAATGTAATTTTACTAAAGGTTTAGCTTTCTAATTGTTGAACTCAGCTCAGTAGTTATTTCCAGTGAAAATTTTAAATAAATGGAAATAGGTATTTTCATAGACATTCGTACTTACAAACATATTCATCAAGGCTAGGTTCTTCTACTTCACTGTAGCATACACGCGGCTTACATCGCAATATACGACGGTCCATATTTATTTAAATACAGCACAAAACATTTATTTCATTTTTAATTCCATCAAACCAAATTCTCAAAAGTTATGCAAAATTGACAACTTTTTGTTTTTTTCTTCCCGCTAAAACTAACTTTGTACCAACTTAATAAAAATAATAAAGGTCGATTTACACCATTAATTTATTTATAGCTCAAATTGAGCTCCAATTTTAAACTGGCCATAAATAAAATATTGATTGGAAAAAATGCGATGGGTTCTAAAAAATAAGGAGGTAAGTGCAAATTGCAGTTTCAATCAAATGATATTATTTATTTTGATGTTCTTATGTCCCAAATATTATAAAATTAAAATTGTCTTTTTAATTATATTTTTAATCTGGATAATCAGGTCCAAGGTTCGAGTCCTAAATAGTGCACACAGTGACGGAAAAAGCATTTTAGGTCCCCCAGTCATTTAAATAAATTAATAAATATCCTTAGACATTTTACACTGCGCTTCTAGTCCCAAACTAAGCAAAGCTTGTACTATGGGTACTAGACAACGGATATAAACATACTTAAATACTTTTTTTTTTTGTAAATACATACTTATTATACATAGAAAACACCCAGTCCAATACAAACAAATATGTTCATGCACACAAATGTTTGTATTGTGCGGGAATCGAACCCGTAGCGGGTCCGGAATAGTAGTCCGTTTCGAACCACTACACCAAACGGCCGACAAAATTAAAATCATCTAATAAATAATGATGGTCTAGTCATAACATTTTCATTGTTTTACAATCCTTTGTTTATCCAGTCACCCTGTGTACATGATGACGTCACTGGAACTTGGTATAGAGCTGAAATGACCTGTATTTGTACTGGAGGGTGATACAAACGATCTATTTTCCTTTCAGCGATAAAAGAAGGTGAATTTTCGCATAACTTTCGCTTTACCTCTGACTGTTCAAACCAATTTGAACCGCTGTGCAGTTGCCGTTGGATTTACGACCGTATGTCTAAGAAATAGGATTTGGATAGCGAATGTGCAAGATTAAACCTAATTTCCCGAAGTCCCAAGCCCTTTTCTGGGAAGGGTGACTCCGATTGGCCTGTTTCGAGTTTGCGCGCGTTAAATTCTAACCCCTATGCGTTATTTCATAAATGGAACGCATACATCGACGCCTTTGCCTCGAAAAAGTTTGTTGGCGCCACTGTCTTCGTGAGATTTCAAAATTACTTTGGGAAAACTAGTTCCAATTTTCACCGCAAATAATACTTTGTGGCCAGCAATGTATGGCATTGGATAGATAAGATCGTTTTGAGCTGAGGATTTCGTAGTATAAGGTTTTTATTGAGAATAAAATCTCAGCAGTTCAGTCTTGCTTCGGTATGCGATGCATTCGCATTGATAAACTTTTATAGTATTATTTTGTAAACAAAAGCTGTTCCTAAACCAGTGCCTTAATCATAGTGCCTTATAGTAAAAATTATAAGTAAATTTTCAAATTTGAATTTAAGAATTAAAAAAACAACAAAAGCAATGGAATGTTGTTTTTCAGCCTGAACTAAAAAATAAAATAAAATGGCAAATGTTGGAAAAGTTTTGGCTACAATCAAAGCAGTGATCACTCGTTTAGTTTTCGCCTGCCACGGGATAATAGCAATATGGCAAGTGACTGTTTTTAAAAAAGACATAGAATACTGGTATTTGGCCACTCCGATATTGTTGCTGATATTTGAAGGAATTTTCACGCTGACTATAAAAGAGAATCAGGAGTGGAAATGGTGAGTTTATCTACTATATAAAAATAAGTCGGGTTTTCCTCCCTGACGCTATAACTCCAGAACGCACAAACCGATTTCCACGGTTTTGCATTCGTTGGAAAGGTCTCGGGCTCCGTGAGGTTTATAGCAAAGAAAATTCGGGAAAAGGGGGTAAAACGGGATCCACGCGTAGATACGAAGTCGCGGGCGGCCGCTAGTATTTTATAAATTTTAGTTGTAACCAATCTTTTGGTTGGTCGAATTTCAATTTAAATTCTTAGTATAATCCTATCATATAGGATTACTTAGGCTAGGCCTGACGGTCTGGCCTAGCCTAAAGGTTGGGCCCGATTCTAATTTGTACGAAGAATCAATCGGTGTACCTAATGTGCGCACTTTCATACATCTCCATACTGATTAACCGCCCGACCCAACTATCGGCCAACTAAAAATCGGTGGTCTGCGCCTAGACAGTCCAGTACCTACAATTTTTGCGTCGTTTTGTGATGTTATGGATCATTTTATTACAGTGATTACCCGAAACGTAGGCAATGTTAAGGTTAACCTTTTAGAGTAGGCGCACACCGTTGATTTTTAGTTGGCCGATAGTTGTGCCCGATTTGGCCGATTCTTCATACAATTTAATATGAAGAATCGGCCAAATCGAATCTGCGTAGTGTGCGCACTCCCATACATGCCCATACTGATCAACTGCCCGACTAAACTATCGGCCGACGAAAAATCAACGGTGTGCGCCTACTCTTAAGCGCCACGGTCTTCAATGGAAGACAAACGTTTCCGTGCCCTCCTCCACGCCATGTATTTTAAAGAAAACATTAACAAATTGAAACATTTCTAGTAAAAAGACTTAAACAAATGCTTGCTATTTTGTGCCTATTTTTAGGTTAGTTTTTTAGGTTATGGGCATTTCTACAGCACGGTGTTATTTTTCTCAATTCGGTGCTAAAATTAATATTTAGTTATTTAAGCAATTTCGATACAAAAAAATAAAGTTTACTCCATTCTGAATGTAAAAATAGCATTGTCACTAAATATTGTGAAGTAGTTTATGAGAAAAGTTAAGCACCGAATTGAGCGAGCACCGAATTGTGAAAATGAATCACGGAATTGAGAAATGAATCTCCGAATTTAAAAATCGCTGCGTAAACTTAGAATTGATGACATTATGTAGAAATACATAATGTATTTCAATAATCAAAATAATAAATACCTAAAACTTTTGATATCTGACTGCTGGTCTATTAGTTAGATGGTTAATTTTAGGTTTAATTGTCTGACTTATCCATTGAAATTAAACAAAAAACCTAATCAATATGTTTAATTTTTTAATAAGGAACTATGAATCATTCTTAATTTTTATATATTATTTTATTAAAGTCATATAAAAATCAAATGATATTTAAATAAAATAAATACATAACACAGGGTCTCCTCTTAGTTTAATTATTCTTAACCTTAAACATAAAACAAATAGGTATAGCAAGACCCAAGAGCTAGATTGACCTGACACTATATCGAAGATATACCGGACGTCAGTTTATACAAAATTCAAACAGCTGAAATACAACAAGGCACCGGGTGTTGACGACATCACGGCTGAGCATCGCCGGAATTAAAGGCTCTACAGAAGCAGTTCAATTTCGTCATCCTCGAAGGAAAAACGCCTTCGGCATGACACAAAAGTGTGATGATAGAATTATAGACTCATCTCACTTCTGAGGCGTGTTTACAGGCTGTTTTCGAGAGTCCCTACGAATCATCTCGCTCGCAGACTCGACGACTTCTAGCCTTCCGAAAAGACTTTAGTACTATGGTACACACACAAATACGCTACGGCAGATTATACAGAAGACCAAGGAGTCAATTCACGGACGATATCTTAGTCATGGCTGAAACCTTGGAGCATCTAGGCACAGTGCTCGATGACCTCCACAGAGCCTCTCAACAAGTGGTCTCAAAATGAACATGAACAAGACAAAAATCATATCAAATGTCCGTGTTGCACCCACTCCTCTGAAGGTTTGGTTTGGAGACTCTACACTCGAAGTTGTTGACAATTGTGTATACCTGGGACAAAGAGTCCAGATAGGTAGGTCCAACTTTGATCTCACGTCTGTCACGTCTTCGACCAGTGTGTGTTGCCAGTGATGGTGTATGGATGTGAAACGTGGTCGTTTACTATGAGCCTAAGAAGAAGGCCCAAAAGGCAATGGAGCGTTCTATGCTCGGAATTTTCCTGCGTGATTGAATCAGAAATGAAAAGATCGGCAAGAGAACCAAAGTGACCGACATAGCCCGCAGAATTGCAAAAATCAAGTGGCAGTGGGCGGGGCACATAGCTCGTACAGATGATGGCTATTGGGACTGAAAATTTCTCGAGTGGAAACTACGGACCAGTGGGCAGGCCCCCCACTAGGTGTACCGACGATCTGGTGAAGATCAAGAGAAGAACCTGGATGCGGACAGCGCACGACCGGCTGCTATGGATATCCTTGGGGAGGCCTTAGTCCAGTAGTGGACGTCATTTGGCTGAACCGAACGTACGAAAAATAAAATAAAATAATGAATTATATTGAAATAAAATAATTTTATCAATAGTAAAAAATGATTTCAAACATATCCCATTATTTTTGTGCATCTAGCTCTTTAAGTTATGATGAACAGAGTTGTCGTTTTATTTGTCCATTGTCTAGTTTTCAAACAAAAAATCTATTAATTATTGGACAGCAAATATCCATAACTCAATAACTCATTACTGTGTTTTGTGGAACCAATAATTATTAAATTATATACAAAATACAATAACTCTTTAGTATAAAAACAAATGAGCAAATAAGATAGATTTAAAAAAATACATAAAAAAGTTATAGACAAACATTATATTTTCAAAATCGTTGCGATAAGTTAAAGTACATAGTTTCAAACTTCTGCTTACATCGATTACTAATGTTTTGAACTATTATTTTATATTATTTTGATAAGATAGCAGTAGCAGTGCATTCTTTTTGACGAAACCTCAAAAATTAGTTTTATTGTCTTCTTTCTTTTGACTGGTAGTGTCTAATGATTGGTAGTTCACCCTATTATTATGTTCTACTGATTTCATTATCATTTTAAGATGCACAAAAAATTATTGTCTCCATTTTGATTTAATATCAATTCGGTGTATATGTTTTCTCAATTCGATGCCCCATATTCCGCGGAATTGAGATCCACGGAATTGAGGAAACATCACAATCCATCAAATTACTCGAAAATATTATAAATTACAACAATTTCTACAAAACGTAATGGCAGATCTCACTTAAACACTCAATTAATTCAGCAGTAATCTCATTAAATACTTCCTGGACATTATTAATTTCGCACACCGATTTGAGAAATGACCAGTGACCAAAAATTTTTAGTGATTTCAAACCTCTGAAAAATGCTCCTCAAAGCGACAGATCCCTCTTTTACACTACTCGAAAATTCGGGCGCAACTGCTAGTTTGTGGGAATCAGTCGAGGGCGTTCGTACTGTGCGTAGTTACTGATATAGGAGCACAAAAGTAAAAATCACGGAATTGAGGCACACACGTCGGACAAAATTTAAATGTGTTACTGTACTAAAACCCAAGGACTTACAATAAAGAAACTCATATATATGGCTTTATTAACTATCCCTTGTTCTGTGAATGTGGGTATCATAACGGGGAAGTTATTAATTCAAAAGTTATGAATCAAAAACGAGTAAATTCTGGAAACCGGACACTCCATTTTAAGCCAAATTTCGCCCGTTTTTGAACTTTCAGATTTTTTTAAGGCGAGATATAAAACCTGGCGGTCTTCTAAGTATGCTCTCCATCAAGTCAAGAGTCCTATAAATACGTGTGATTTTTTTCAAGACGGTACTCCAATTTTTAAGGTACTTTTTTCGCCCCAGTAGGTCAATCGGTCGTCTCCGTAGAAATGCCCTTATGCGGTGGGGGCGGACTTTCGGCGTTTTCCTCCAGTCAACTTTAGGGCCAAACTGAGAATAAAGTAGGCGGTATAAAATTAATACTTCGTTCGTTCGTTCGTTTCAGCCAAATGACGTCCACTGCTGGACAAAGGCCTCCCCCAAGGTTTTCCACAATGAACGGTCCTGCGCTGCCCGCATCCAGGCTGGAAAATTAATACTTATTTATTTTTAAATCGGACCAGTACATAGTTCTCCTGAGATTAGCGCGTTCAAGTAAACAAACAAACTCTTCACTTTCAGCTTTATTGAAGTTGAAGGCCAAACTATAGATCCTGGCTGTACAGAAGTTGCAGTAGTAGGAAAAAGTGATGGCATCGATCAGTACCGTATTACGGGACTATTCCCACCGCTGCAACTCCTGTGTAGCCAGGATTTACAGCTTGACTGCCAATAATTCAGTTGTAAGTATTCCATGGGATACGTCACACAAGTAGGTATATCTATATTCCATGGGATTCGTCACACATTTATACTAGCTGGGGTTAATCAAAGCCCGTCGAGGGTCGGCGCCCGTTCACAATACGGCAAATGTCACCGCAACCCTTCAAAGGTTGGTGACGTAACGTGTTAAATTAATTAAAATGGCGTCTTGGCGGGAAAGTGAAACGTCATGTTTGCCAATTTTACTGGCTAATTTTGTTTAATTTAATTAATTAAGTTTCCCTCGGTCACGCTGTTGCTATAACTTTGATTGACACCAGAATAATAATGTTGTAAAAACTTGTTTCATCAATATTTACCTACGTTTTGAAAGAAAAATGGTTTATAGTCCAAAATTCCGTACAAATCTGCAGGTATAAATTCGATTCACTTTTTCCTTTATTTGTGCTTTAAGACGTTGTTTCATACCAAATTTCAAGATTCTGAGTTCACGGGACGTATCTACCTATTTATCCTGTAGGTTTTGATTCCTTTGCGAGTGTCGAAAATTTGCGGCATAAACGGCTGTATTTTTTGATTGCGTTGACTTAGAAGTTTGATTTTTTCACAGTTCCAAGGGACAGTAGACCTGAGTATTTGATATGAATTTCAGCTTGTTCCTGAGAAAAAGGGTCTTACAGACATAGATGGACAACAAAGTGATTCCGTTTTTTCCTTTTGAGGCACAGAACCCTAAAAAGTAACCAAAATTCTTTACACTCGTGTTTATTAACAGATTGACTGGGCAAATTAGGATTTGCAACCTCAAACGTCTGGCCAAACAACGAAACCCGAAGCCGTGGCAATTTGCCGCAAATGGCTTCCGGTCGCTCCCACGTTGACAGCGAATTAGCGGCTGCATGACGAAGGATTCGTTGGAAAAACGTAATATACAGGGTGTACGAAAGATGACCTTGACACTATTTCGATGCTTACGAACGGTGGAAATGTCCAGAAGAATAACATCGACCCTCTTAAAAAATCTATATTTATAGGAAAAGCAAAAGGTCACCGACTCACTCACTCACTCTTCACAAAATCTTAGAAACTACAAGTGCTAGGAGTCTCAAATTTTGCATGAGTCAAACTTTTCGAACGTTCACTAAGACGGGATTTTTCAAAATTCAACCCCTAAGGGCGTAAAACGGGATCCACGCGTACGAAGTCGCGGGCGGCCGCTAGTCGATTAAACTAATTTCTGAAGAGTCTGTTTTTTTGAGTCTGGTCCGATTTCATAAAATATTTTTGTGTTGGATAGCTTATTATCGACGAAGGCATAAGTTATTTAACACCCTCGTAGTTTTCCGTCGTTACCACAATTTATTTCAGAAGCAAGCAATTTCTACATCTATAGTCAATTTTAATATTCTCGCGTCTCTAGTTTCTCGCGCCAAAATATTGGATAAAATTGAAAAAATATTTTTGATTTTGATTTTGAAGTCGCAGGCACAGATAGCTTTTAATGAAGAAAATGTTGTCATTAGATATTGTCTACTATAGAAGTCGTGGCGCTCAAAAGGTATTTTATTTCGCTGTCAGATAAAGATTTTCTCTTTCTTTTTTTCTATTCTTGTCCCCAGGTTCTGCCCATCAGTATTCATCTACCTAGGCCTCGTGGTGCCAGCAATATGGCTGCTGGAGCTACACAAGGTGGACATGCGGCGCGAAGACCAACAGAACAGCGTCACCACACCCTCGTCTTACGTCGAGGTGAGAAACCGATATGAATTTCAAACTAAATTATAAATAACTTGAAAAAATCGAACGGCGGGAATCGAACCCATGACCTTTCGCTTGTCGGGCTACTGCTCTTCCATCTGGGCTACTTATGCCCGTTTTCACCATCGTTCCCTATTTTTTAAGTGACCCCTATGAAAAGCAAAATTCCTGAATGTGTTACCATAGGATAGGGGTGGGAATCACTTAAAATTAGGGATTGATGGTGAAAACGGGCATTAGATACTGGATGAACCCATTGAAATTTTCAAGTGTACCTAATACGCTGTTACGGCCAGCGTTTGTTTCATCAATGTTGGGTAGTACAATAGTAGGTCGTTGATTCGATTCCCGCCTAAGGCAGTTCGATTTTTTCAAGTTATTTATAATTTAGTTTGACATTTGAGATGCTCTTAACGCTAAGAAATGGCAAACCGTAAAGGCACACTGTTGCTCGTTAGGACATTTGTAACTTATCTATAGGGTGGAAATTAGAGATGAAACGGATAGTTGTTTGGCCGGATACCGGATACCGGATATCCGGCCAGCTGCCAGGCCGGATAGCCGGATATCCGGCGGCCGGATAGTTGGCCCATTGTCTCGTTGCATATCGTGACAAGTTTAGCGCCGCACAGGCACGGTAATATTATCATACAGTATTGTAACGGCATATAAACGGACGAAACGCGAGCTTTCCTTCGAAATTCAAATCTCGGTATGCGCTCGACATGCAAAAGTCGGGGGTGTCGCGAATGTGCCACAGTAATAAACGGACGATGTGTTGTTTTTGAAACAGTAAGCGCTCTTTTTTTTATAAAAATAATTACAACTATAGCCTGACCAGGAACATAAAAACCCTCGCCATGTTGCGGAAAACTAATGGTACTAATTTCTTTTAATGGCAACGGTAACTGAAAACTTCATTGTCATGTCACCTTGCATGTCAGTCTATTGCTGTCAAAGTGTAAACAAAGTTTATTTTAAATGTGCGCAATTGGTTTTATGAATTAAATTGCTAAAATATTTTTATAGTCGTGAAAGAAAAGTGGTTCACAATGTGTTAAAGTATTTGTCGAAGAGAAATACTAAGGGTTTGGACAATATTTTCATTGAATAATGTTTCCGACAAAGGTTGTCAAATTGACTGACATGTTTATCGTATAGTACAGTCCACTATGAAAATTAGCTGTGGTTTGTTTCAACTACCTATTTTAAAATTTTTTGTCACTTTCTAAGTGTTCAATTTTATGGGATTGGGAAAGAAGTACCGAGTTTGAAGCGTTCATGAGCAGATATTGCAGTTGAATATTCAAGTTCTGAATTTGATTATTNTAACATGGGCTAGTGTCGGCTTATAAACCCATTTACCTAACACCCTGTACAATAATCAAGCATTTTGTACACCTCAGTCAAGGCGCATACATTTTACGATCGCATAAGTTTTATTTCTAAATCTTAACCCAAATATAATTTTTAATTAAATCTACTAATCACAAAACAACATGCATTTTATCCTATTTCATTCACTAAGTTATTTTGTTTGTCAAAATAAAATAAAAAATTACAATCACAAAATACATTCACAAAACTAGATAGAAATTCTAAGTAGGCAGATGTAATTAGAATGGGTACCTACTGTAGAAGAGCAGCCCTATCGCATGTTGTCATACCGTGACGTACCGCGCGGCTGTTGACATTTATTTCAAAAATATGGCCGAATTGGAATACTGTATAGATAGTATTACCGTGGCACAGGTGCTTCGAACGCGATCAGTGGGTCTATTAGTAGACTAGAGTAGTCACACTTTTCAAAAATCGAATCCGTCCGAATATTATAATGTCAGATTTTGCCACTTGTCTAGGGGGCAGATCAATTCGGGTGATTTCGGTGGCTATCGTGAGTGTGTGATTAAATAGCGAAAATTAAATAACCTAGTTTACTTGCTGCGTAATCTGACTGAACTGCATGCATCATGTCACCAGACCATCAGTGAAAAAAGATCACCTTTTTTATTTGGCAATATTTCGACATTAACAGATGTTTACTATTTATGTATTCGTCATTAGAGTGAATAGCCCAGAAAAAGTAATTAGTTTTTTTAAAGTCCTAAGGCCTTATATGGCTTTTTTGTAACTTTTTGGACTTTAAATAAAAGCCGTCATTATTATAAGCCATTTTATTGATATTTACCTCAAAGATTAATGTATTTCATTTTGTTAATAGGAAATTGTCGTGGTTTTTTAATATCCGGTATCCGGCCGGATAGTGAGTTACTATCCGGTATCCGGCCGGATAGTAAATATAGGCCGGATATCCGGCCTACCGGATATCCAGCCTACCGGATAGTTACCGGATATCCGTTTCATTTCTAGTGGCAATGATAAGTAATCACTTATCGTTCCTTATCTACCCTGTATAAGGATTAAAATTTGTACTATAGTCTGGTCTTCGAGCACGTAGAATTTTGTCCAATGACCCCAAGCTACCCATCCTTATCGCTCGCGCGTATATTTTTGCTATCGCGCTCGCACACTCACTGCGGGCGCCCGTCGCACAGTCGCGACAGCAATATAATTACGCGCGAGCGATAAGGATGGGTAGCTTGGGGCCATTGGACAAAATTCTACGTGCTCACAGACCGGGCTAGTTACCTATAAAATTTTTTTTTCAGAGAATCATTAATGATTTTCTTTACTTACTCTCTTCTAAAATGTTCTCTCTCAGCAGACCAACTTCCCGAACCCCTTGAACACCAAGATCGATACAGACATGTGGGTGACCCTGATCGAACAGTTCCTTATGCTGACCCTGATCGTCGGCCGCTGGCTTCTACCCAAAGGTGACCTGACGAGAGACCAGCTCAGCCAGCTGCTTTTGGTGTATATTGGTAAGAGACTTTTGTGTTGTGTACAAACAGGACTATTCCCACCTCTCCAGTAGCGTAAATGTATCATATAAGAAGAAAAAAGAAGAAAAGCAGAAGAAGAACAGGAGACGAAAAGAAGAAGATGAAGATGGGAACCCCTTTTGCCCGCCCGGCCACCTTATAGTTACGCCACTGCACATCTCGGTCCCACCGCTGCAACTCCTGTGTAGCCAGGATCTACAGCTCGACCGCCAATAACCCAACCAGTGAAGGTCAAGTTTGTCCCGGGGGAAGTTAACTGTCATTGGACCCGCAACGAAATTAATCAGAAGAACATGGGAAGAGTTCGAAGTACGTTCGTTTCAGTCAAATGACGTTCACAGCTGCACAAAAGCCTCTTAAGGATTTGTATAACGACCGATCTCGCGCTGCCCGCATTTTGGTTCTTCTCGTGACCTTCACCAGATCGTCGGTCCACTTAGTGAGAGCGCATTACGCTTTCTGGGCTCTGGTCGCCACTAAAAAGCTCAAGAAACTTCTTTATTAATGAAAAGATCAGAGATTTCCGGAAATTCGCCTGATACAACCGGGAATCGAAGTGACTAAAATCTACTAAAAATTACACCTACATTTTATTACATCGATCGCTAGATTAATAAGGAAGAAACTCGGGATTGGTAGTGAATTTTCGGAATTTTTCCGCACGTTTTTCATAAAAAAAAACTCATTTATTTCTGCAAATAGGCTTTAAAAAGTACTTTTACACGTCCCAGTATTAACCCTACTCCTTCAGGACAATAAATGGGCCAGTGCTGAGAAGAACTCACCCTGTATATCCTTTAATTTCTCCCACCAGGCACGGCGGCGGACATAATCGAATTCTTCGATTCCTTCAAAGACCAGAAGGTTGCGTCAGAGAAAGTCCTGGTCCTCTTGACCCTGGCCATCTGGTCGTGGTCCCTGATGCAGTTCACCGTCGTTCTGACAGCCACCAAGAGCAGGAAGTCCCGGGGGACAGCCAATAGGTCTGAAATGTACGTATTTAGTGCACGCCAGCGCGTTTGCACGGTGTTTTGTTGCCATTTTGGATAGCTTTTCATTTTGCTTTTTTTTTGGCTTTTATTTTATTGTAAGAGTTTTGGTAATCTGTATTCTCTGTTTTCTGCTTAACTATCATATTTTGTAAATGTCAGGTTGACAGACAGATAAAACGTCAGAGAAAAAAATAATAAAATAAATAAATATCCTTGGACATTTTACACTGCGCTTCTAGTCCCAAACTAAGCAAAGCTTGTACTATGGGTACTAGACAACGGATATAAACATACTTAAATACTTTTTTTTTTTGTAAATACATACATATTATACATAGAAAATACCCAGTCCAATTATACAAACAAATATGAACACACAAATGTTTGTACTGTGCGGGAATCGAACCCGCAACCTCCGGAATAGTAGTCCGTTTCGAACCACTATACCAAACAGCCGACTAAAAAGCCAAGATTGACGCCCAACGTGTTGGAGGATTAGAAACGTCAGTTTAGCGCATAACAGAGTCACTGACTGAGGTGTGGGACGGTACGGGCGGGGTGATATTGACAATTATTTCATTTGATCATCACTTTCCATCAGGTGAGATACAGGCTAAGAGCTTCCTCGTTGTGGATAAAAAAAATATGACGTCTCAATAAAACCCTCCCATACCTCAGGCAATAACTGAGTTGAGCGCTAGACATATAGTTATATCATTTATTTAATTTATTTTAATGCTTTATTCGGTTTGTTTTCGTATCGCTTTACACCGCTTACACACTGTACTTATTTATAGTCAACTTCATGCAAATTCGTGATTTTGGTGTATACTTGTTGTGTATAAGGTATTCCAGCTAAACGAAAAAACAAGTGAACGACTACTTACCTATTTAAATATGAATTTTAAAAACTAAAAAAAAAAATATTAATAATTTTTGCCACGGTGCGCATCCTAGCCCGGCAGGCCTCCCTAACTAAAAAGTGTAATATTAAAGAAATCGTGCGTCTGCAATCAAGTATGAACTTTTAAAATTCATCCTTGAGTAAAGCCCGGTCTGTGAGCACGTAGAATTTTGTCCAATGACCCCAAGCTACCGATCCTTATCGCTCGCGCGTAATTATATTGCTGTCGCGACTGTGCGAGTGCCGCAGTGAGTGCAGTGAGACCGCATAAAGATCGGTAGCTTGGGGTCATTGGACAAAATTCTACGTGCTCGCAGACCAGACTATAGCAGACGAGTAGGTACGCTCAAGGTGCTTCTCAATTCAGAAACTGGGCTTGAATGACCTTATGATCATGATCATGATCATCATAATGATGATGATGATGAGTCTCCTGTACAGAAACAGCCGCGCGTGCTGCTGCTCCATCGAAGTGTGCGCCATCATCATGAACATAGCGCTTCAAGACGCCCCCTTCCTGGCGTTCAGGCTGCTCATCATCTGTCACTACAAAATCATCAACTATATGAACATCTTCTTCACTTGCAAGAACACGTTGGTACGTACTTTTGATCTTAAATTATTTTCTGTAATTAACAAAATAAAACATTTCTAGGTAATTTGTCGATATTGAAAATGTCGATAGTTGCGCATCTCTAATGTCATGCACAGATAAAAAAATGAAATTGACTTTTTTTATTTTTATTTTGGCACACACAGGTTTGGCCAATTCCTATGTTGTATCACTTCAATTTGCGCCACGCGTCTCCCCCTCTATTTGGGCATCTATTATTTTATAGATCCTTACTTCATTAGAAAATAGTTCTTGCAGTTGCAACTCACGAAGGCGAGTGAGCTTTACTTGTGTGTATCCGTGTACATAACGATAGTGTAAGTAATGTCTATCAAAACTTTTGAGTAACTAACAGTAGCGAGCCACCACACATGTAAAGCTCACTTGCCTTCGTGAATTGCAACAACTATACCTAATTGAATAATTATGCAAATGCTCAACGGCACCCGCTGAAAATCGATGCCGGGATAAAAATTAAATATGTCCTTAAATGAACTCTGAATTAATATTGTTGGTGCCTTGTTCACAGGTAATCTTGCTCCAAATATACCGTCTCTACGTCCTACACTTAGAGACGGTAGACGAAGGCAACGGGGGCTCCGTGTACAGAAAGAAAAAGAAGAACAAATCCAGCGACAAGAAGGAGAAGGACAAAAAAGATAAACACAAGTGAGTTGTTTTAGCAAAAAGTCATTTACGTTACAGTCAGCGTCAAATAGTTCATAACACCCAAAGTAGCCAAAAAGATCGCAGCATGTCTTTATGGTTGTAAGTATAGATCGTTTCATCCACGAAGACGCGCCCCACCATTCTTCCGCTAATGTTTGAGTGTAACGCACACTACAATAATGCCGTTCGGATTGCTCGGATCAAACCCCGCACCCCGCGCGACCTCGACCAAAAATTGGTGGGGCGCGTCTTCGTGGATGAAACGATCTTTGACAACTTTTTGGCCACTTTGGATGTCACGAACTATTAGACGCTGACTATTGTATAGGTCGCGCAGCAAGAGATGAGGCGATAAATACAAGCAAAGATTTGTATATGTATACGCGTCGCGCTAACTTCTTGCGTATTCTGATTTCTGACAGATTTGTGTATTCTCTCCGTTCCATTTTACAACACTCCACTCACAACACAACCACTAATTCACTCAATACACCACTCATAACACTACACACAAATTCACTCAATACACTACCTACAAACACACTAAATAAGGATGTATGTTAATACTATTGGAAGAGCGGTAACCTCCTACTGCAGGTATTCTTATACTTAAAAGGATGGTTACCAAAATACTTTGTGAATCAACTGTATTTATAAAATAAAACATTTTCATTTTCATTTTTCATTCATTTTGTCCAGTTTTGCGGGATCTTCATCCCGTAAAACTGAATGAATAATATCAGTTTGTACCGCTTTTCAGTTATTAAACTTTTTCAGAAAACACAAAACGAAGAAACATAAAAAGAAGCATGAAATCGGAGAGACTTCCATATCAGTCATCAGTGACGGCAAGAAACACGACAGAGTCGATGGTGGAAGGATCAGGTGAGTTCATCATCAGGTCATAATCTATCATCATTTCAGCCACAGGACGTCCACTGCTGAACATAGGCCTTCCTTAATGATTCCCAGATTGATCGGTTATAGCGCCCGCATCTAGCACTTTCCAGCCCTACCTTTCTTCATCATCATCATCATTTTAGCCATAGGACGTCCACTGCTGAACAGGCCTCCCCTAATGATTTCCAGATTGACCGGATAGTAGCGGCCCACATCTAGCGCCTTCAAGCCCTACCTTTCTTCATCATCATCATTTTAGCCATAGGACGTCCACTGCTGAACATAGGCCTTCCCTAATGATTCCAGATTGACCGGATAGTAGCGGCCCGCATGTAGATCCTTCCAGCTACCTTTCATCATCATCACCACTGAATATAATAGGCCTCCCCCAATGATTCCATAACGGCCGGTTGATAGATTTTTAATGGATATTAATGGATTTTTTTGTTATATTCTATGTATTATTGTACAATTGTTGGTAAACCAATAAATAAAAATAAAATAAAATAAAATAGCGGCTGGCATCCAGCTTTATGAGGTCTTTTTTTATCAGACGGACTTAGAACAAGCCCTACTCTACCAAACCGAGCAGAAAACATTTTGTCTCCACTGGGAATCGAGCCCAGAACCTCTAGGTCTGATACAGGTCTCTTTTATTTTTTTTTAGTTTTATGAACTAAATCTCAAATAATCTACTTAGGGTGTTTTGATATTGTGCGTCACGCATAGTGACAATTCGGCGTTTGAACGCGTTTGAATTCAAATAAAATTCAGTACATAGGCCCTTACCAGGGCACTTATACACGTTCACGTCCCAAATATGTATAGCTTGCCCTACCACCACTTCGGGACAACATTATGGGCTGGTGCAGAGAAGATAATCGTTCATGATGAACTCCACACGATATAAAAACAACACCCTAAGCCCTTTTATGTGGAATAAAATCAGCGTTCCAATCCGTTCAGTTTGTTGCAATACAAACAAAGTATACACTGTATATTGTATATACTCGTATAGAACAGATAGCCAGGTCATCTAGCGATCGAGCGCCCCGCGGAGTCGTTTGGCCGCGCCCTTTGCCCTCGGGATGGGACGTGTCGTTAAAAGTATCGATAAAATTTACGGTTCGAACTTCGAACCGCCCACGGCGACGCGTCTTTCCGTTCTATACATAGCCAGAACGCAAGGGTGTGAAACTAATCGAGTATAGTTTGGAGATTACTTTATTTACTAAGCTCCTCCAAACTATACACGACCAGTACGCATATGGTGCGTACTGCTCGCGTATACTTTGTAGTGACTTAGGTCAATTATCTTACTCCAAAATATACATCGCCAGTACGCATACGGTCTAATCATGTATGTATTGTAATAAGTGCGTGATTACAATTTATACGCGAGTAGTTGCATGCTAGTCATTTTGACTTATTGACCTCTCTTTCTATTACATATTAATTCATATCTGCGTGTCTACTTTAAACATTGAATCATCTTTCGACACGTGTCATTGTTTTGATAAAGGATTTTTTGGTGTTTCTTGTTCTGCCATAGAAAAGATATTTGTTTTGGGGCTGATATTTCACCAATTGTCGTAGGTATGGAAATATGTCAAAATGATTTTATTCTTGAGATAAAAGTTAATAAATAAAATAAATAATTAATAAACTAGTTACTTCTAGTTCCAAACTAAGCAAAGCTTGTACTATGGGTACTAGACAACGGATATAAACATACTTAAATACTTTTTTTTGTAAATACGTACTTATTATACATAGAAAACACCCAGTCCAATACAAACAAATATGTTCATGCACACAAATGTTTGTACTGTGCGTGTACCTACCTACCTACCTCCGGAATAGTAGTCCGTTTCGAACCACTACACCAAACGGCCGACAATACAAACCTAGCATTTGAATAATATTGTATTTAATGCACGTTGAACTTTCTTCTCTCACTCTCTCTCATTTTAATTAAATTGTTATTTAATTTGAAATCTACCTAATCAATTTAATTTCAAAAACCACTTACAATAGTGTTAAAAATCTAGATTTATTATAGATTCAGTAAAATAATAATATTTTATGTAATAATATCAAATAAATGTGATTTTAAATATAGTTCCATATTTTACTGAATTTTACTAAATCAATATCCACTAAACACACTCTAGTCAAGTGTAAGTGGTGTAGTAGAAACTAATCGAGTATAGTTTGGAGATGACTTTTTACTAAGCTCCTCCAAACTATACACGATCAGTACGCAAAATTCGTGTATAGTTTGGAGTCACAGATTTACAAACAGGCACTACAAAATATACACGAGCAGTTTTCTATGGGTGCGTTCTGGCCATGTATAGAACGGAAAGACGCCACGGCGACGGCGCTGGACTATTGTGATGAACATAATATTCGTAATACAAGCTTAAAGCATACCAAGAGCAGAACAACGAGTCGCTCAATGAAAATGTTCTAGTGTTCATGAAAGGGTTTTCATGGACCAACCGTCGTACTTATACATTGTATTGTATTCGTAACCAGCATACCATAACTTAGGATGGGGTTCCACAAAAAGTTGTTGAAAGTATGATTTTCGAATGATGAGGACCTATGGCCATGCAAAAAGATCCTTACTCTCTTAAACAAGCGTTGTTTTATCAATCTATACTATTTTTATTATTATTGAAACAAACAAGATGTTGTTTAGGGGGCTTAGTGCGAGTTTACATCTTACGTCATCGCTAGCGACTGCGTAAAAAAAGTGACATTAAATGTATGATAGATTGTACAGCGTCCCTAGTGGATAGTTTCAAGAACTAAAATCTGCATAGATTTTTTGTTGCACTCGCTAGTGACTACGTTCAATGCAAACTCGCACTTAACACACACAGCCTCTTAGACAAGTTGCACTTTTTGATCGAATGACGAAATGAAACCATACAAAAAAAAAAGGCTTTTCGACCATCTTTCGACATGAAAACTGTCACATTTACATTTTGTCTAGGGGATAGAACGCTGATTTTTTTTATCGATATCGACAAACTCCGTCAATCCCTAACGCAGGTGATTCGTGGTGTGTCAAGGCGACAATCGACCCCTTTCAGCACCCTGCACCCTCGCCTCGCTATACGATGTATGCCTGTCTGTTTACAGTAGATGACTGGCCTTAACTCTGACCGTAGGGAAATCTTAAAAATATACTTAGTGAATGTCAAAAATATAGTAGACTAGCTTTCCGCCCGCGGCTTCGCCCGCGTGGAATTTTGTCTTTCACAGAAAAACTAAAAAACTTTATCGCGCGCGTCCCTGTTTCAAAAACCGGGATAAAACTATTCTATGTCCTTTCCCGGGACTCAAGCTATCTCTATGTCAAATTTTTTCAAAATCGGTTCAGTGGTTTAGGCGTGAAAGAGAGACAGACAGAGTTACTTTCGCATTTATAATATTAGTATAGATTAGTATAGATTTGAATCTTACTAATGAAATGGCGATTAAAACTTTACTTTAATTTTGATTTTAAGTAAACGTTGAGTCTACCTGAGTATGTAATTTTTTTTTTTTTTTTTTTTTTTTTTATTCGTCCACATTTTCACAGTCTCCTAGGCATTCGAAACGATTTTGCAACTCGAGCTGAAAGGTTTCGGGGTTTTGGAGTTGGATGGGCGCTGGGTGGAGCGTAGACTTCATCAGTCGACGCCTCTCCAGCTTGGGTCTGATATTCAATGTGCCTCTTACCATTCGGTGATCACTTCCTGTTTTGACCGACCTATGGTAAGATTGAAATGGACCCTGACCCCAATAACCATTTTAAAACCTAGGAAGTGCGCTCATACTAGGTTTAGATTCTGGTTTTTACGAAGTAAAAAAAAAAAGAAAACCATTTGAGTGTTAGTAAGGGCCATAAAACTTGCTATTTAAAAGTTAATTAATTAATTTATTGTAAAATATATAGTTAAATTATTAAGCTTCAAAATAAACATCAAAAAGTTTTCAAAAGTTTGAGTATACCAGTATGGTAAACGAAAATGTGTTTTTTCGCGCTCCTGTAAAATTTACTCCGCTGCTCTTACTAGGTTCTTAAATAGTTCAGCCGTGCGATCTCCAACCCGCCTGCCAAGCGTGGAGATTATGGCAAAACCCTCCACTATAGTGGAGGAGGCTCATAGTCCAGTAGTGGACTGTAAAGGGCTGTTGATGATGATAGTATTAATTACTGTCCATTTTATCTAGGGTTGTGTTGATTTGTCAATTTTTTTTTAGTTGCACGCGATGTCGTTCATTTTCAAATTTCTATTTAAGTATAATTTCCACCGGGTGGCGATTAATTTCCAAGTAATTAGATTCTTGCAAAATATCCCTCTCTATTATAAGTTCTGCTGATTCCTCACCCACGTTGTTCCGGATAATATTCTAAATTTAGCTTGCTGCTTCACGCGAAAAACGTTTATTTATTTAAAATCTGAATCCGTACAATAAAGATGATGATGTTAAGTAATTACCGCTAAATTGAAGTGCGCTGTGTTTTATTTGTTAATTTTTAATTAACAAGAATATTCATTCGTCTTTGTCTTATCTCCCGTCAAAGGGAAATTTAACTTTTTAAGTGGCAATTACGCGGTAGAGGGATTATTTTGGAAATTAAGCTTACAAAAACAAGTTTTATTTAAAGACGTTCAAATTTCCTATTGTTTAAAAGACCAAAGTACTTTAAAAGATCTCGTTTTAAGTTTTGACTGAATAATTACAGGAAGATTAAGCTGAATTTTATGTTCCTGGTTTGGGAAAGTTTGTAAACGAGAAGCTAATTACTTTTGCACTAATAACCAGGGGTAGAGGTGGGGCTAATATGTTTTTCATCTTTATATTTTAAAATTTTGTATACAAATGTAATTATTTGTTGGTGTTGTAAGCTTAATGTGCTGTCGACTGTACATTAGTAGGCAAGGTCTATCAACTTTTGTCTAGATTTATATCGCTCAAACTATAGTT